GATTAGATAGATCTGGAAACTGGTAAATGTAAAGTAAACACAGTAAACCTAAGATCTTTGCAGTGAGGTACGAAGAAGTCTGCACGGTGTTCTTTTTATCCTTATCCCACTCAGATCCTACCTAGCTGTCTCCCTCAATTTCCTACATGGCTAAAAGCCAACCTTAGGAAAGGCTAAAAAACAGCAAGTCGTCAAATAAAAATGATGCTTGTGCAAACTTTTCTTAGTAGGAAATCTGGTTTAAAAATTATACAGATATTAAAAACATGGTCAGTGCTTCATGTAAAAAAGGATCCTGAAAGAAATACATACTGTATACTGCTTTATATAACCCCACTTCCCTTTCTGAACTTCCCTAGTTCTGCTCCATAATCTTCAGTTTTTCTATAGGATGCAATGCTTTAATATGCAGCAGATTTCATTTCCCATCTTACTTCAGACCTTCCTTTTATGTTTGAGGCTATATCTAAGGCATAAGACAGGGTTAGCATGGTTCTGCTGCTTCATCTTAATCTTCAGACTTTCATTTTTATTTGCTGTTTTAATCTTACTGCAAACCTTATACAAGTAAGGCTGTGTAAATTGTGAATACATGAAAGCAGAACCTACCATTCTGCAACACAAATTGCCCCCAACTATAGCTTTAGAACCTTCAAGTACATTTTTACAAATGAAGGGAAGAATCAATGAAGAGTATTAAAATGTTTATTAAACAATGACGTGCAGATATCACATACACTGTTGCTCATAATTTGCTATACCTTCTGAAAGGCTCACACAGCCTCATGATGCCCTAAGAATTCCCTACAGCTTTATCAAATAAAACAATGAATGTTTTGATGGCTAGAGGTAATACCAGCAAACAGAGAAAACTACCATAGTAAAAACTTAAGATTCATACACTGATCTTTCCCCTTGTGTGCCTCTAAGCACATCCTATTTAGCACACAGTAATTCCACTGAAACAAGGTCGTTTCAGAAGTAGAACATGGAAGCAAAATCTTATTTTTAACAGACAGGTATGAAGGAATTAATTGTTCAGCTGAATCTAAGGAAAAACTTGAAACTCAAACAGAATACTGTCAGACAAAAATTAATAGATGACCAAAGCACTACAATTCATGCAATGGTTTCACAAAAGGTGAGACATGAACTTTAATCAGCTGACATAATTAGGATTAATCTCATTCTTCCCTGTTAACAATCAGTGATATTCTGAAGATGTCCTCAGAGTCACACCCTGGAGCTCTTATTACATGGCAAAATACTGGAATCTGCTTTTCTGTACTAACTGTCCAGCTAACTCAACTCACATGATCACAGGTATATGCACAGCTGTGTAAGTGTAGGAACTAAGTTGTTAAAAGTGATAGAAAATGAAGAAACAAAAGCCTCATATTCATACTTATGTATGTATGAGAATGTCTAATGACTAATGAAGCAGTGCATTAAATAATAACAAACTGGGTTATTAATACCACTGGCATAGCTAACAGAGTGGGGTAGGAACTTGAGGGAAAACTGTATTTAACCATCTGAAGTGTTAGAAAAAACAGCCAAGGAAGGGAAACTAAACAGATATCCTCACTGCTTGTGTAACATCTAGAAAGTCCTTGATTGGAGGTATACAATGACATAATACTTCCATTTCATGCGGCCAGAAGAAGATGAAGTTTTTCAGCAAGGCTCTAGGACGCTTTCCAGCTCTAAACACTTCCTACTCTTTCTTCATGAAGGGAAAGCCCTTCGTGTCATATTGCGGAAAAATGGTGATGAATCTCCACAAATTCTAGTTGCAATCTAAATTCTGTCAGTTGTCACATAAATGTGAAATGTTACTTATGACAGCCGTCTCTCTTACTGACAATAGTAAGACTGTTGCCTCTCCTTTCTTCAGGCTTTTAAAAGCCGTAATATAATGAGACTGTTAACTGGTAATCTGTTTACACTTGGGTTAAGGTCTTGACACCCTGTACAGTACATATTGAAAAATCTCATCTCACACAGCTATTACTTAAAGCAATCCAGTGTGGTGTCAAGTTTACATCTGTCTCACACTGTGAACAGTATCTGAAAGGGAAGTGGTCTAGTGGTAATAAGTGGCCAAGTCACCCCGTAATGTATATGGGAAGTGAATAATCTCCATTTACCTGATGTGCTCTTGACTTTACCACAGAGAAGTCTAGAAATTTATTTTAAAAACAACGTGAACACGTAATCTTTGGAGCATCCAAGGGCAAGGGAAGAGAATGGAATGTATTTGCTGAGCCTTCAAGAGGTTCAAATCAAGTCCCATGACACAGGGAATTTTCTTTCTTAGACACCACCCTCACCTCTTGTGGTAAACACACACCTGATATATTCTTCCAGAGTACTAGCACTGGGTATAAAAACATCAGAACTGTAGCTAACAATGACACAGCAGGTCAAAAGATGACAGAAAGTGAAAGTATAGAAACATACAGGATATACGAGAAACCAGAAACAGAATTTACAAACAATAAAAGTAACAGAAAATACAGAGGAAGAGATTTAGGAAGACAATGTGTGGTAACATTGACAGGTAAAAAAAAAAGCAATACAGGGAACAGACTGAAAATACTACTACTGTAAAAACACAGCGGAAAAACTGCTGAGAAGATGAGAGACTCATGCAAGGGATAAATTAAGAACATGTGTGACATTCACACATACACTTAAAAATACTCACACATATGCTTACAGGACATATTGACACATATGCTTACAAGAGATCTGGTGGACAACAAATCATCTTCCTTCATACATCAAGTCAGAAGAACTTACCAAGACTCATCAAGTCAATGGGCATTGGGTGTTTATTTCTGTCTTATTGCCTTGTGAATGCCAATAGTAACTTCTAAGCATTTTGTTTTCTTGCTTTGTGACAGGGATTTATAGCTAGCAAATTCTCTTTGGGTGTTTTAATGCTAAACATACACACTGTATTTTTGAAACAATGTTTTTCTGGTTTCTGCTAATTGCTTTTACTGGAATTACATACCTGAAAAAAACTCTACCTGCAAGCACAAATGTAAGAAACGTTCTTCTAAAGACTCATATAGTGATTCACAATTCTATTTTAAAACAGATTTTGCAGAAATCCATAGTATGAACTGTAATAGAGTATACTTAAAGTCACCAAGTCTGCAAAAACTCATGTCAAATTGCTAAACATGTTGAGCTTGAAAAATAACCAATCAACTAGCACATTTACCTTTTGCAAGGCAATGTACTAGAAATTTGCTTCTATAGCTACTTAATGAATTATTCCCTAGTATTTTTAATACTACTCAAAAGATCCGCTATGGTGACAATTTCATTAGAACTAGGTCAAAACTATGGTATTCAGCACAATCTGATCTGAAGTAGCATCAGACGCTTACTTCCTGCTTTGGAGAGTAATTAATTCTATTTTCATCCTCTAAGGCAAGCACACAAAATACATACATTTATTTCAACTTTAAAAACAGTATCACATCTGTTGTGGAAACAAAGTTAGGACCTACCAAACCAAGAAATTCAAAGTATAAGACAAGCTCTGCTTCACCTTCTACTTGTGCTTGCCGCTCATTTCAGTATGGAAACAATATGGAAGTATATTGTCAGAAACTTCTCTCTGAACTTTTCATCATTTAGAGGTTTTCCACTTTATGTAATACTCTACTTGTTTTCCTACTGCTAAAAACCAAAACATATTATGGTATCTTGGGGGATAGTGATGCACCTCTAGCTCTTCAGATGCCTAAATTGCATCAGCATGATACTACTAAGTCTGTCTTGACTAAATCACATATAAAGTGTTGTGCTGGATAAGAATCCTCAGACTACTATGCAGATAAATGTCATTCCAGACCTCTCATGTCTATAGCCCTGTTCCAGTGAGCTTAATGGGAACTTCATGGTGTCTTTCTGTTCTTCTGTGCTTTCCTCAATAAGAGGCTTCCATTCATGTACACCTGACAAACGGAGACTGGAATGACATCATCAGAATAATTTTCATAGCTGAAACAAAAATTCTTACGGAGACCATGGAGGTTTTTGCCACAGCTTTAATAACTAACTATTTTTTAACGTTGGTCAACATCAAAAGGTCACCATCCTTTACCATCACTCATTTCTTTGACAACAGATGAGAAATTTTATCTGAGCTGTATGCTATGTTACTCAAGTGCAACTGAATTTCATGGAGTCAATCTTCAGGCAAACCTGAGATTCCAATGTTAAATTTCACAGTACTATTTTATCAGATTCCTGCCCAAAGAAACTAAAGGCATAACGTTTCAGACACAGTTTAGTCACATAGGTGTTTTTATTCTTGTTGATCTACAACAAACAGCTTTTAACTTATTTGAAACGCTTTTCCTGTTGTCATCCTGGCAGCCATGTTCTTTAAAGTTTAGGCTTTGTATCCATAAAAGAAAGGCAGTTCGATAGAACACAAGAACCCCTGCTTAGTACTATTTACATCACACCAGGACTGCAAAAGCAATCTGTGAGGGAAAAGGGGAAAACCTGGGGAAACAGGAGTTCTTGGGTATTACAATTTTTATAAATTGTATTGAGGTCTGCCTTGATTGCACTTCCCAGTATTCACTACTGTCTTACTACATTAAACTATTTTTGCCCAGCTTGCATTTGTGAGTGTACATCAGAAGAGAGTAAGGGCTTGAATAGGTATAAGAGAAGAAAACAAAAACGTCAGTGATTAACTACCCCTAGTCAGAAACTTACTTTAAGAATTCAAATGATTACAGACTGTCATTCTGCAAAATAAACAGGGATATAATCCTAAACTAGATGTACTCCACTCCTTAAAGTATCCTCTGAATGCATTTTCATCAGTGTATATTCAGGCATGTTTGTGCTGCATATGCATACAAACATGTACACAGACATATATATAAGAAGCTAAAAAGTAAAAATTACTTTGTTAGAAAGAGAAAAAGATACATAGTTCTTTGTATCCACCATGTACTTACTATTTAGTTGAATCTGATAATTGATACTCCCGTCGTCTATCGTAACACTCCTGAATTCCAGGGTCATTCCATAAGCTTCTTATTGCATCTACATACGGGTTCTCAAAAGTTGACACCTTCTCTACATCAACTTCTCGAACTAACTGTGCATGAGCCTAATTCAAAACAAACAAAACAGTAACATTTACTTCATTTTCTATGTTTGCAGATAGCTCATGTACAGTCAACAGAATTAACAGGAATAATTTTTTATATTGGCCATATCACCAACATGTATATGCAATTTGAAAAATCAAGTACCACAAAGAAGGTTGTGAAGATGGAAAAAGAAGACAATTATACAGAGTTCCAGAAATGAGGAATAACAGAAAAAAACTTCACTTTTTTATGGAAAGTACGTAGATCTGAGTATGGTTCAGCATATTATTTACCTTGCATGCTAAAAGACACTGTTAAACAGAATACCTACCATCCATTCCACTAACTGAACCACTCATTAGCAACTGAACCCAGGACACTAGGACAACATAAAGATAGAAAAGACAGTAAACCCTCCAAATACTAAAAGATGGATCTTTTATCAAAGTCTGTACTCATGTGAATGAACTTAGTGATGGTGTAGGAAGGAAATAGTGACATTAATTTATTGGCAAGACCTTAAAGTAAACGGTGAATAAATGAGAATAAATAAGAGTACTGAGATAATTATGAATGAGTGATTATATGCTATGTTCAAAGACAAACAGTGCTAAGTATGGTATTATGATAGAAATTGAATTAATAAATGTATATATGGGCCATTATTTCAGACTGTGCTTACTCCAGTTCAGTATTATTTAGACGAAATGGATGATGCATCCACATGAAAATTTGTATTAATTAAGCTCACTTTAAAGAAAGTTGTATTTTTAATTTTTCAGGTACAAGCTCGCAGTATACAAAACATGTTTTTAAAATGACTAGTTAACCAATCTGACAGATTTAGACTCTGATGGTAGCTGAAAGAATGGAATGGAGGGAAGGAATCTGCCTTTCAGAAAGACTGATTTAAGAAGTCTTTAATGTTACCACAAATGTAACAGAAGTTACTATTAAAAAAGAAAAGCAAGATTAGAAATTGTCTCTAGTTTCAATTTGTACTATCAATTATGGAGATTCTTAAAAAGTGATCTCTAAAATTGGGAATTGCTAATAGGAAATAATCCCTAACAAATCCATTGCCCTCCTAAACTAAAAGTTTAGTTAAAGCCTATAGAGTCAGAACTACCAAAGAAATACAGCAGAACAATTTCCAGTTTGTCCTGGAAGTACTATGTACACATTTCAGTAACAAATACATGAATGTGTGTGCCTGTCTAGGGATAGATACACATGCAAACATACACACACACACACACGCAGAGGAGAAAACAGATGAAAACTTGGTCAAGCAAAAACCTGAGGGATTCAACTCTCACATTTAGTCTGCATTTGAGGTGAGGACACAAAGCTCTTTCCATTTTAAAATAGGTGAAGGTATACTGAAAGGAGAGTTCTTGTTGTTTTTTTCATAAATTTATCCTCTGTTTACACACATACAATCCCAACTCCCCTTTTTAGACAGTCCAGGAGACTGATGCTACTGGTCATTACTTAACAAAATATTATACCTGCAACTATTGTTTACTCAAAAGGAAATAATAGCCTCCAAGTTCAATGTGAAAAATGTGTGTCTTAGAGATATGGAGAACATATGTTCTCTGTTATCAGAACCCAAATTTCCAAAGTTCTAGGAAAAAAAAAATTCTTCAGGATCATGCCCACTCATCCGCAAAACGTCTAGACAGATCATGAAAAGTCTCTACCTTCTCACAGCAAGTAACAAGAAATGGTACTCTGCTAAATACAAGCCAACATTCTTGTGAAACAAGGTAATTTTTTTTTTTATTATCTCATCTTATCAAGCTCAGTTCTGTATTCTATTACCTTTGAGTACTTCCAAAAGAATGATGCCCTGAATACTGTCCCATAGCTTGTGAAAAACTGATAAAATAATATATTCAGATACTGACTTTTTGTTTTGTACTTAAGCTTTGAAATTATGGCCAACTGATATCAAAATGCTAATAGAACTGAAAGATTAACTTACTATTCCAAGAATTTCATTTGAAATCCCTCAAAACCGAAGTATTTATTCCAACAGTTCCCTAAACATTCTGTAACAGGTGCTCAAGTACTGTACATTGGTAGCAGAGAAAATCTTAAAAGGTAACTACTTTATTCATTTACTTATCTAGACTTATTATTACAAAGCTGTCCAAGATCTTGCATTGTTTTATTTATCAGTTCTGTATGTTCTGCCATACAACTAATGACTTTTGCACTATGTGACAAAACTTACAAAATAAACTGATATATGCCAAGAAGTTGCATCCATTGAAAAATTGATTCAGTTTTTAAAAAAGAAACAGCATTTCCTCAGTGAACATTGCTTCTGCTTCCCTGGGGTTTGCCTAGGCAGACTCATGACAGCTTGCACCCTACTGATACACTGTTCTTCGCATCAGTGGTGCTTCTCTTAAAAGAGTAATGCCCCTTCACATTGATTTCAGATCTTCATTAACCCTCCACTATGCCTTCTTGTTCCCAGAGGTACTACTCTTTCCTGCATACAACAATTCTTTCTTTGAGAGTCTTTGTCAGGCAACATCTTTTGCTGACTTCTAACTTCTAGTGCTAGAGACAGAGATGAAAATATAAGATTTCATCTATTGGCTGAATTTTTCTCATTTGCCCTGGTACAAGTCAAAAAGTAATTCTAGTGAAACCTTGTGAGGTGGAGAAGCATAAAATTAATGCAGAAGAAGAATCAATCTTGCATACTGTGTCACTACTACTAATTACTGGCTTTAGCTTCCTTCCACTAATATAAATAGCAAATTTGGAACAAACTTTTGATGTTAGCACTCAAACATGAAAAAATCTAAGGACTCATCATTAATCCAGTCTATGTAACTATAAATATTATCAAGTACTTCTTAGACTTTACTAATCCTTTCACTTTACCCAAAAATCAACATTATTTGGGGAGACAAAAAGAAAAAAGTCAAGCTTGTTGCCCCTGAGAAAATTCTACCTTCTCAGAATTCTCTCTTTTGGGACACCAATAATTGTTATCAGAGCATTAAAACAAAAAAAGGCCACTCAAAACGACAGCCAAAACTGAAGGATTCAAACTGGTCATTAAGATGTAACTACTAGGTCAGCTGTAATATTCCTTAAACAAAATCTAGATGATGTAGACGACTTTTCAGTCCAATACACTTTTGATATCAGCAGTCAGTATTTTCCATGGCCTTCTGGGAATATAAGATTACCTGTAACAATTTCCACTTTATTTGCCATAAATCTTATAAACACTCATCCAATTCTTTTTAGCAAATCACATATTTCCTAAATTTAAGTGCTTCTTCATTGATTTCTACAAGTATTTTTAAAATGACCCCAGAATAAGAAAACTGAAATTTTTGGGAATAGTATTGGATTCTGAAACCAGGAAATCTGAGACTGAGGAGATACCAAAATAGCTGTAATTTCTCCTTTGTCATTCCCCTCAGAAAACTATTCACAGTGTTAAAACCTAATGCTGAGCTTGAATAGTGTTACAGTTTTATGCTGGTCCTTCTGGCAATATTCTTTTGGCCACAATCCATTAACAGTATTTTTTTAATCTCGAGGCTTCATCATGTCAGTTTTCTACTTACTATCTTCATAATTTTTAGAAAGCTCTGATGCTTCTTAGGGATTAGTTGGGCCAGCCAGTGAATCTGGTCTCGTATTCTCTCTGCAATCATTTGGAGCCTTACAACACTGGCTACAATCAATGTAGCAAGCATGGAAAAAGGTTCCTATTTTTATATTCCTTTTGATACAGTCTCTGTAATTTTCTCAAATTAGCACTCCAACCTACCAGAATGATTTATATGAGGGAAATCAGGCAGAAATGCACAGCCTATTTCAGAAGAAATTCCTCTCTGATCTTAAATCCACAGGAAAAAGCAGTATGCTTGAGACATAGCAGGCGAGATTGCTTCGTATCAATGGCTTCTGTGGACTAGCTGATTTTAATGTGCCTATTTAAAGAATTCTCTTACGTGGGAGGGAAAACCTTCTGCTTTGTAAAAGGATTTCCCAAACCTACCAGAAAAAGCCTGTGGCTGCAGTGCTTGGCTGTCAGTAACTAAAGGATCAAGCATAGTGATATTAGTTAGGTTTGGATAGCATAATTTACATCCACTGCAAAACTGAGAGCAATGGCACATGATCAGGTCCAAGCAGTCCATGAACTGAATGGAAGTCATTACAAAGACATCATCATGACCATGGATTTGTCTTTTTTTGAAGAGGGGTGGGCTGGGGCAGCAGTGCAGTATTCTTGATTCTCAACAACATGAGTCATTTACAGATTCAGACCCCAGTGACTTGTAATCTGCAAGTGTGGTTCACACAAATACCTTGCCTTATATGGCTGTATAGTAAGATACGCTGCTTTGGAGACTCCTGCAAATCTGCAGATATTTGAAGCAGGTAAAACATTCAAGGAGAGCAATACTAGTCTATTTCATTGTCTTGAAAACTAGGCAGCTGGGGGATGTATTCCTGAACATGTTAGAAAGCAGCAACTTCTGACTGATAATCAGTCCAGGGTAGGAGAGTGATTTTTACATAGCAGCCCATAGTTTGTAAGAGGACTGTAAAGAGGATGTTGCTTCCCTTGAGCAACTTTAGAGCATAGAATGGACTAGAGTAAACAGGGAGGAGGTTTCATGGTGTGCTATACCAAAGAACTGTATTTCATAGCACTGCATGCTGTGAAGTGCTGAAACAAGGCTTGGTGTAACACTAATCATGCTTCAGTTGCTGACAAAGCTTAACAGGGTATCAATCTACCTAAATCAGAATTTGTCATGCTTTCCTGTTTCACAACCTAACCTTTGGAAACAAAAAATACATAAACTCTTTGAAAAAGAATTCCTCAGACACATACCAGAATCTAAAAAATGAGCCTGCATGTATAAATATTTTTTTGTTACTGATTATTGTCTGTGAAAAGCCTAGGATAATGGACCCTAACGCATGGCTCATGGGCAGTACAATGAAATGATAAGGTTTTAAA